CAAGGTGGTGGACACCGTGTTCGGAAACAGTGACCTTTCTACAGCCATCCACGGTTGGTAGAGCCCCCCCCCCCCCGTCTGTTGAGACTACCTGGACCGTATGGGTCTTAGACCTGGTTCTTACCCTCTTTATTCTAGGGGAGTTTTTATAGACTTCTCCTAACGTCAGTCATGTATTCTGTGATCGCTCCTGGATGTCTCCTTAATAGTCATAAAAAATAGTAGCTATTTTAGCCTGAATTGTTTTTCGTAGCTCTTTAAAAAAAAATCCCCTAGAATAAAGAGGGTCTGAACCGGGTTCGAGATCCATAAGGTTCAGATGGTCTCAACAGACCAAGGCTCTACCAACCATGGATGGTTGTAGAAAGGTCACTGTTTCCGAACACAGTGTCCTCCACCTTGTTTCATGCTGTCAAGTGTCAACCCACAACATGTGTGAACTAAATAAACGGTTTATCTAACAATACAATGTACATGTACGGAGATGTGTTGAAGCTAGGTGGCAGGACGTTGAATGTCTCAGTACTCAGTCAGTTTTGTGCCTTGTTGTTGCACTTTATGACTGTATATAGTATTTGGTTACAGTGATGGAGAGTTACTCTCAACTCGTACCTATATTTTCCTTTCCTTTCTACATGTACATGTATTATAATTATGTACAATCCTGTAGAGCCTTTGTAGTCATTTTGGGAATTCTCAAGCCGCGGCGAAAAAGAAAGAAATTAAAATTAAATAAACCCGACATTTAATATAGTCCGATTCTCTATTGTAACTAACTGTAACGTGCAGCCTGAGCTGCACAATGGGGAAAAGTGTTTTATTCCCGTAGCTATGCAGAAGACGTTACTTCAGTAACGTCTGGCGCTAGCCAGGGTCCACGCAGCTTTAACTCCCGTAGCTATGCAGAAGACGTTACTTCAGTAACGTCTGGCGCTAGCCAGGGTCCACGCAGCTTTAACTCCCGTAGCTATGCAGAAGACGTTACTTCAGTAACGTCTGGCGCTAGCCAGGGTCCACGCAGCTTTAATTTGGTGTTTGTTTGTTTGTTTGTTTGTTTGTTTGTTTGTGTCACGGCTGGAGCTATCCCGTATCTGTCCCGTATCTGTCCCGTATCTGTAACTACAAAGGCTCTACAGGATTGTACATAACAGCTGTCCACAATATTTGCGGGCTCCTCTATCTGTCCCGTACCGTACCAATATTCGTCGTATTTTGTATACGACTCCCTGATGTAGAGGGAGATTTGGAAAGAAATAGGGAGACGAGGAGGAAATTAAATTAGAACAGACGCCGAATAGGTGATAGGATGCGTCAGCATAAACATACTTTGGAAGAGAGATCCCGTCGTCTCCAAAATAAGCGTGAACGAGCGATTCAGCGCCGGTCACAGGAAACGTCGGAAGAGAGATCCCGTCCACTCCAGAACACCCGTGATCGGCAGAGTCCGCCGGTCCCAGGCAACGTCAGGACAGACATCCCTGTTGAGTCCAGAACGCCCGTGATCGGCAGAGTCTAAGCCGGTCCCAGGAAACGTCAGGACAGACATCCCGTCGAGTCCAGACCGCTCGTGATCGGCAGAGTCAGCGCCGGTCCCAGTAAACGTCAGGACAGACATCCCGTCGACGTGCCGAAAAACTCAATCTGCACCCTCTTTTGCCGTCGGACAGGATACGTATTATAGGAGACTGTAAAGTTATGTAATGTCCAAATTTCGACGTGAGCAGCAGGTCACTCGCGTTGATTTTTCGACGTGCGAGCCAAATAACGCGAACTGAACTTTCGCGTCGCAGACATCCCGTCGACGCGCAGAAAAACTAAATCTGCAGCCTCTTTTGCCGTCGGACAGGATACGTATTTTAGGAGGCTGTAAAGTTATGTGCTCCACAGGCAACCAAGCATTCGGTGAAGTCATTGGCTCAACAGGTCAATGTACATGCATTACTACAAAAAGGCCAGAAAATCCGATTACTGTATTAAAATAAACTAATTTTCGCTGGCGATTTAATTTCGCTGATTTCGCCGCTTGGTACCAACCGGCCAAAGTAAATCGCAGGCCAAAGTTTGTCATATAGGCAAATGATGCATGATTGAGCACTGGATGCATGAGAGAGCAAAAATACCGATCGGTTTCAAATTTGACGTGAAATTGCGCGTCACGTCGGAAATAACGTGCATCTTAACCTCTCTAATAGAGAGGTTTCTATTTCTCATCGGCCAAAATTTGTTGATTTACAGTATAAGGAGATAAAAAGAAAAGAAGGAACAAACCAAAAGTAGATGATTATTAGAGAAATAACAATCCGCAATAAATTCTGCAAATACTTTTGCCTAACTCATAATATTGAAACCGATTGAAACGTTTTTGCAATACAGTGATGTGGCCAATCAACGGAAAAAGACATTTCCATCAGTTCTTATAACATGTACGATGAGCTAGGCAAAAAGGCATAAAAGCATAGCGTAGGGCCCTGAGCTTCCAAGCTCTCTCGTTTGGTGTTTG